CATTGTTGTCACCTCCTGTGCCTCAGTTTCTCCATCTGCACATGATGGGGAAAGTGCTGGCAACACAGGCTGTCCCAGGCAGGTGGGGGGAGGGTGAGAGATGACACGGGGGCAGCAGAATCTCAGCAAACTTGCCCCCGAGTTTGTGCGAGAGCCCCGTAGACGCAGAAGCAATGGGGGAGCCTTGGGGGTCCTGCTGCAGCGGGGTGGGGCTGGGAGCAGCAACGGGACCTGGCGCCAGGCAGCACTTGTGTGCCACCGTGCCGGCCTGAGGCCTGCAGGGGATGGCACAGGGAAGCCCCGGCACAGTGGCAGATCTTTGATAAACGCCCATTTCTGTCTTTTGTTGTTTCTTTTTCCAAGTTTAAAATCAAAAATAGATGTTTTGAAAAGAGACCAGCAGATTGGCAGGCAGGCAGGTCTCCAGGGACGGGCTGAGTCGCTTTCGGTGGTTGGCAAGATCTGCAGCAGGTGGCACCGCACAGACAGTGGCATCCTGGACAGCAGGTAAGTCACATGGGTTGCCCTTCAGCACAGATGAGTGGCAAACACTGGTGGGAGGGGAAAGACGCAAGCTACCAAAGAAACAAAAACAGAAACAAACCACACAGAAGAGACCATGTTCAAGGACATGCCAGGTGACGTTCTATGTTCTTTGTGGTGCCTGCACATGGCCACCTTCAGAAGAATGTCCCCCAGGGACAGGGAGAAGGGTCATTCAGCTGACGTGAGGGCCTGCGACAGCTCCTGCTTCCCGAGCACATACTAGACACCAGGCGCTATGCTCACAGCTCCGTACATGATCCCCGTTTAACAGATGAGTTGGCCGAGGCGCAGAGAGGTTGAGTGACCTGTCCAAGGCCGCACAGTCAGTAAGTTGCAGAGCCAGGACCCGAACCCAAGGCTCTTGATGGCCAGCCCACGTGGTCTCTCACGCTGTGGTGCACAGTTCATGTTTTAAAAAAGATTTCAGACGTCTGAGTAGATGTGATCAAATATTAACATTGGTGAAGCCTGGCAGTATGTCCCCGGGTGCTCCTTCCTGTGCTCTCTGTAATTTCCCGTCAGTGTGGCAGGTTGGGCTCTGGTCCAAGGCCGCTTGCCTGGCGGTGATCCACGCCACACTGGCCGTCCAGCTGCCGGGGTGGCAGCGCGAGCAACTCACCCCCCGCACGCACAAGCCGATCCCGGCACATGCTCCTGCTGCGGCTAAGGGTGGCAGGGGAGGGGGGGCAGCGGACACGGGCAGCCCGGCGGCTCTCTGGAGGAGCTACAGCCATGTCATTAGCAGCCGCCTGGCCGCGGGGGCTGGTGCTTAGCTGCCCACACTGAGCCGGTCTGGCCAGAGAAGCGCTGGGTGTTCCGCTGGCCTGAGTGTCCTGGTCCAGCCCACTGGGCTCTCGGAAATGTGGGTGACGCTCCTGACCCGCGTGTGGCCCTCATGACACAGACAGGCCCGGAGCTGCCCCACTCCCACTCAGGAGTAGGGAAACTGAGGCTGAGGTGGGGGACGGGTCTCCTGGGGACTCTGTGGGCCCTACACCGCTTGCTGAAGAAAATCGGGAGGTTTCCTCAGCCCCCACGCCGGCTCCTGAGGCTGCGTTTCCACCAGACAGGGCTTGAGGCACCCTCGGCTCAAAGGAACAGCTTTGTCCCGTCTGCCCTGGGGGTGTTCTCCCTGCCCCCTGCCAACAGCCCTGGCTCCAGACGGCATTTGTGACATCGTCTGGTCGTCTAGCCTGTGGCTACTGACTCTGGCAGGAGCTCAGGCCGCAGAAGTAGGCAAGCCAGGGCATCGGACCATTCACTCACCCATCCTTTCGCTCACCCGTGTGTCCATCCGTGGGCTTATTTGTTCACACAAATAATAAATTACCCACTAAGCACCAGACGCCGTACTCTGGGGGTTCAGCAGCCAGGGCCCCTGTCCTTAGGGAGCTGCCCGACTTGGGGGGACTAGAGGACTAGAGACTACCTCACCTAGGTCAGCTTTATCCGAACTTGAGGTAGCCCTCCCCGCTTTGTTTCCATTAGCGGTAACATGGTACATCTTTCTCCTGCTCTTTATTTTTCACCTGAGTCTTCATTTTTAAAGTGGGTTTATTGTAGACTGCACATAGTTGGGCCTTGTTTTTTAATCCACTCTGACAATCTGTCTTTAAATTGCTGTTTCCATCGTTCTCATTTAAAGTGATTATTGCTAGAGATAGATTAATACCTACTATGTGTATACATCTTTTCTATAGATTATACTTGTTCTTTGGTTCCCCCTCCCCCCACCTTTTCTGCCTTCTCTGGTTTTAATTGAGCATTTATTAATGCTAATATAATTTCACTTTACTACTTTTCTAACCATATCAATTACACTTCTTTTTAAAGTTATTTTAGTGGCTGCCCTAGAGTAGTCAATACATATTTTGTTTACATAGTAATTTTTTTATTAATAGATTTTATTTTAGAGTAATTTTAGATTTACGGAAGAATTTGAGCAGATAGTACAAAGGAAATATACATTTGTTTTTTTTTTCTTTGAGACAGAGTCTCACTCTGTCACCCTGGGTAGAGTGCAATGGCATTATCATAGCTCACTGCAACCTCCAGCTCCTAGGCTAAAGTGATCCTCCTGCCTCAGCCTCCCGAGTAGCTGGGACTACGGGAGTCACCACCACACCTGGCTAATTTTTCTATTTTTAGTAGAGATGGAGTCTCACTCTTGCTCAGGCTGGTCTCAAACTCTTGAGCTCAAGCAATCCTCCCGCCTCGGCCTCCAAGAGTGCTAGGATTACAGGTACGAGCCACTGTGCCCAGCCAGAAATATATTAATACATTTTAACTAATACAAGTCCACCTTCAACTAACACTATACGACTTCATGTGTAGTGCAACTAACTTAGAGTATTCCCAATGCCCCCTCCCATCCCTGGTACCATTCACTTACCCACATGCTATAATTGCCCGATACCATGGAGTTTCTGACATATATCATTTTCCTTCTCCTTGAAGAACTTCTTTGAACATTTTTTGTAGGCAGGTCCCCTGGCGATGAATTCCGTCCATGTTTGTTTTTCTGGGAAAGTCTTCATTTCTCTTTTTCCCTTGAAGGATAATTTCACTGGATATAGACTTCTATCTAAGTTGATGGGTTTTTTCTTCCACCATTTAAAATATTTCGCCCCACTCTCCTTGCACTGTTTCGAAGGAGAAGTTTGCTGTGATTCTTCTCCTTTTTCCCCTGTGGGCAGGTGTGTTCCCCTCTGGCTTCTTTCGAGAGCTCTCTTCGTCTTTGGTTATCTGCAGTTTGTGTATGATCTGCTGGGGTGTACATTTTTTGGTATTTATCCTGCTTTATGTTCTCTTAGATTTTCCTGGATTTGGTGTTTGGTATCTGTCATTCATTTTTTAAAATTCTCGGCCATTACTTCTGCTCCTTCTTTCTTCTCTGCCCTGTCTTCCAGTTACGTGCATTTATACCTTTTGAAATTGTTCTATAGTTCTTGGATGTTCTGTTTGTTTTTTTAACTTCTTTTCTCTTTGTATATTAGTCTGAGAAGTTCCTGTTGACAGATGTCCAAGTGCGCCGATTCCTTCCTCAGCTGCGTCGTCTACTGATGAGCTCAGCAAAGGCATTTTTATCTCTGTTACAGTGTCTTTGATTTCTAATACAGCCTTAACATTTTTTCCTTAAAGTTTACCTCTCTCTACTTATATTACCCATCTGTTCTTGCTCATTTTCAACTTTTCCCATTAGAACCCTTAACACATTAATCATAGTTATTTTAAATTTCTGTCTGATGATTTCAGCATCTGTCCCATAGCTGGGTCTGGCTCTGATGCTTCTTGAGATTGGAACTTTTCTTGTCTTCTATCATGCCTTGTAACTTTTCTGGAAGGCCAGTCATGCAGTACTAGATAACAGGAAGTGAGGTGAGTGGGTCTTTAGTGTGCAGATTTATGTTAACCTGGCTAGCGGTTGGGCTGTGTTCAGTGTTTTCTGTGGCCGTGGGAGCCCCAGCCTCATGGCTGTGGTCCAGGTTATATGTCACTCCCACCTCTGTACACCCATCCCAGCCCTGCCTTGATGTGTTAGTATCACCTCGTTCTGACTCCGGCTTGGGAAAGTGCAGGGGTGTTTTTGGTGCTGAGATTCAGGGGTGTGCGGTGGTGGTAGGGAGGGGGTCTGAAGCTGGGGCAGGGGCTGCAGGATGGAGAGCTAGATGCCCACCCCAGGAGGAAGACCCATCAGGGCTCCCTATGTGGGAGTGAGAGGGAGATGCCCAGTGGGTCCCACCCTACAGGGGAATCTGCTGGCCCAGGAGGGGAGACCAGGAAGAAGCGAGGGGGTGGGGGCCAAGGGTGGACTATGGGGGCTGCCCCATCCTCCCTCCCCACCCCTAGGCCTAGGTTTCACTTCTTGAGTCCCGGGGCAACACCGCCTGCCTTTCACCCCCTCCCCCATTTTTAAGTAGCTCCGTGGGAGTTCTGGTCACTGGCTACAGGGTGTCCCTCCCCTAGCCCAGTGGGTGGTGGAATTGGAACCCAGGAGTCCAGGCCTCCTGCAGCCTCCCTGGCTAAATAGCACCCCGGGGGAGGAACCTGTGTCCCCTGCGGAAACTGGAAACACAGTGGGCACCCCGGGCTTCCAAGAGGCCAGGCCCTGCCACCGTGTTTGGAAAGGCCCGGGGTCCAGGAGGCAGCGCCAGAGGTTGTGCGGAGCTCTGTGCCGTGCTCCCCGCCGCGCCCCTCTTCCTTCAGTCCCGCCGGATGTCCCGGGCCACAGATGACTTTCTAGAAGGGGAGGGCCCCAGACCCGAGGTGCTGCGGGAAGGGCCCGCCCCTTCCCCGCCGCGAGCGCCCGGGGAGGGTGCCGGCTCGGCGGCAGGCGGGCGCCCGGGGCGCGGCCGGCGGCTCCCCGGGGCCACGGCGGGCCGGGGGCGCCCTCCCTCCGCCGCCTCCTCCGCGGGCCGGGCCGGGGCGAGGCGGGGCGGCGGCGGCATGGCGGGGCGGCGGGCCGGGCCCCGGGCCGGGGCGCTGCTGGCGCTGCGGGCGCTGCTGGCCCTGCGGGCGCTCCGGGCCGCCGCGCACCCGCAGTGCCTGGACTTCAGGCCGCCCTTCCGGCCGCCGCAGCCGCTGCGCTTCTGCGCGCAGTACTCGGCCTTCGGCTGCTGCGCTCCCGAGCAGGACGCGGCGCTGGCCCGCCGCTTCGGGGCCCTGGCAGCCCGCGTGGACGCCGCCGTGTGGGCCGCGTGCGCCGGCTACGCGCTCGACTTGCTGTGCCAGGTGAGCCGGCGGGCGACGGGGCGCGGGCGGGCGTGGCCGGGCAGGTGGCGGAGGTGGGGGTGGGCGAGCGCCGGCCTCGGTCGCCCGGTCTTGGGGCGGAGATCGGACCCCACTGGGGCGAGGATCGGGAGTCGGCAGCGGACTTCAGAACTTTAGGTCCCAAGTGGGGAGACCGGGCATCCCCTGACGGCTGTTGGCTTTGTCATTCATTAGCTTTGCGACTTGGGCCTTCCTTAGGCCTCAGTTTCCCCCCCGAGGCAGGAGAGACGGACAGATGTCATCACTTTTTCAGGAGTTGGGGGCTGCTCTGCCCTGGGATCGGCCCCGTAGTACCCCACTCCGAGGAGCCCGCCCTTGTCCGGTACCTGGGTGGGGGGACGTTTGTCCCGATGCTCACTGCTGCTCTGTGCTCTCCTGGGAGGTGGGGGCAGGGGAGCCCTGCCGTCGGGGCGGGTTTGTCGAAGGCTGTATGTAGGGGGACACTTCTCCGCCTGAGAGCCCCTCCACCACCCTGATGCCCTAGGCGCTTCCAGCCCCCACCTTTGTTGGTGCGGAGTCCTCTCCAAGGGATGGCACCCTCACCTGGCAGAGGCGCTCTCAAGCCCACCTGAGCACATCCTTTGGCGAACCCTCCCTGCCCACCATCTCCACCTGCTGCAAGCCCCTCCACCTGTGAGCGAGCCTAGAGCCCCTGTTTCTGACCACACCCTGCGATGCCACAGCTGTTTCTTTTCCTCCTGTGCGGGTCTGATGCCTGAGTGCCCGACCAGAACCGGTGGGTGGACGCTGCCTGGCTGAATGCAGAAATGGGGGCAAGACCCAGAAACCCCAAGGCTGACCTGGCCCAGCATCTGGGCAGAGAGAGGCCTGGGGGGTGGAGGGGCCGCAAGGGCCAGAACAGTGTCCCAGACCCAGCCACAGGGGCCAGGCAGTGTGGGGAGGAGCCAGAGGGTGACTTGGAGTCAGACATACTAGGGTTTGACCCCTGCATCGCCACCTCCCCGGCTACATGACTTGGGCAGGCCCCTGCTGCACTTCAGTAATGGGATCTTTACAATGGGGACAACCTTAACTGCCCCAGGGGTACCAAGAAGATTAAATGACACATATTAGGGGCTCAGTAAATGCTTACAGTGGCCTTCTCTAGCGCTTCCTTGGCCCCTGCTGCTGCCCAGCCCTGGGAGGGGCCTGAGTGAGACCCAGAGTCCCATTCAAGGAAGACCCAGAGACAGGCAGGGACTTTCACAGTGGTCACACAGCCCAGTGGTGGCTCAGGAGGGGACTTGGACCATGTTCGTTGCTGATATGAGTGGGGTATCCAGGTGGGAAGCCAGAGGTGCTGGGAGGATGAGGAGAGGGGCCCTGGGGAGCTCCAGAACGCTCCAAAAGGTGGGCTGCGCTCCTTTTGGTGGCCTCTGGCATGTTCCCACACTGTGCATCTCAAGGGAGCTAGAAGGATCTGGTGAAGCATCTGCCTCTCTCACCAGCCTGGGGGCTTCTCAGGACCGGGTCCTTTGGTCTCCCTATGTGACCCCCAGTCACACAGCAGGGTTCATGCATCCATGCCACATTAGTTTCATGAGCACTTATTATGTGCCAGGCTCGGCAGGGCAATGAAATGGGCAGATCCAAAGAGGAGGAAGGGAGGGTCCATTCCAATGCTGTCCCCTGGCAGGAGGTGCCTCTTTTCTCTTGGGAACCTTCCCAGGACAACTGGCTTGAGCAACCAGCGGTGGAATGGCTGCAAACACCTCAGCCCAGGCGTCTCTGGGAGTGACCTCATGTCTGGAGTGAGCTTGGAGAGGGCATCTGAGGCTGGGCCACAGTTCCCCTGACGGGGCCTCGTGGAGCACGCTGGTGGGAGGACTGTGTTCTCGGCCAGCCAAGGCTGAGTCTGGATTCGGGGCCTACCGATTTCCCCTGGGGAGGTGGCCAAGGTGCCTTAATTACAGGTTTCAGTCAATGATGGCATTCAGGCCTTCACATCTGCCTGGGGGGAACGGGAGACTCTTTCCTGGGGCTTTGCCCTGGTGGTCTGGTAGATGCCTGTGTGCCCTGGAGGAGAGAGGACAGCCGTGGCCTGCGGTGCCCAAGTGTGGCTGGTGTGAGCTCCCACATGACTAACTGCTCCTGTGACTGGGTGGTGTCTCTAAGAACCTGAAGTTGTCGTCGGAGCCTGGTTCCTGATGGCAGTCTGTGCACGGTGTGCTCTGTGGCTCACTCTCCTCTGCAGCCCGTGCGGAGTCAGCCCTGTGCTGCTGTGTGCCCAGGGGCAACTGGCAAGTCACAATCTTGGCCTCCCCTTGTTCAGTTCATGAGACGAACCCCAGAATGTACAAGAGACCCCCCAAGGGGTAATGAACACCATGGAGGTGTAGAGAAAAGGACGCAACGTAAATCAGGGAAGGCTCCCTGGAGGAAGGAACGTTGAGTTGCATCTTGATAGCTCATGCCATTTGGGCATTTACCAAACAAATATTAATACGTGTATCATCTAAATTTATTCCTCCCAACCACTCTGGGGTTGGGATTCCTCTCCCCTATTATAGATGAGGACACAGGGCCAGAGAGGCTAAGGAGCCTTCCCAAGGTCACACAGGGAATGTGTACTCTGGCTCCAAAGCCTTCTCCTAATCGCTTTGCCATACTGCCTCCCTCCTTGAAGCCCCACTGTGTGCTGGGCCCTGGGCTCCCTGCCCTGGGGGCCCCACGGTCTGTGGAGTGGACAGATGTGAAAAGAGATAGTTAAGTCCTAGCCAAGCAGACCAGCTGAACCCCCTGTGGTGACGGTGTGGGAACAGCAGAGGTAGAGAGCTCAGCTGCAAGCCACAGGGGCGCAGGTTAGGGAATGTCGTGTCGGAGACACGCACAGAGCTGTGGGAGCATCTGCGAGGGCCGGGAGGGGCAGGCGGGGCCCTGGGAGAATGCAGGATAAGACGGGACCTTGGAGTCTGGCCTTGAGTCAAGAACAGGAGTTTGCCAGATGAGGGAGTGGGTGAGGAGAGGAATCTGACGGGGAAAACATAATGTACAAAGGCTGGGTCTTTCCAAAGAACGGGCGATGAACGTAAGAAATGGGCTCAGGACCATGAGTCATGAGTGCCAGTGGCTGCGGCTGGGGCGGTGCGGGGGGCTGGCCGTCTGCCCTGCACTGAGTGGCCCAGGCAGCTGGGCAGTGTGGGACCGGGCTGGCTTCCCGTGGGCTTTCTCCCCTCCCCGCCCCCACAACACCGTGAAGCCCGGTTGCTGTTGGCCTCCTCGCCAGCAGCAATCACTGTACCCTCTGGTCATTTCCTACCTCTGGACCACGCTGGTCCAGCCACCACGTTTGCATTGTGTGTAAGTAAGAGCACGTGGGCCACGAGTAAGTGTTTGCCGGACCCAGTGTTTGAGGCGGATGTTGACGCCTCCAGGCCGGGTCCCTGTGTGGTTCTGTGCTGGGCTGTGCTGAGTGGAAGGTTTTCGGGTTGGATTCCGCGTCTGCCCTGCTTCCCGTCGTGTCTCTGGAGCTGAGAGTGGTGCCTGGCACAGTCTGTGCCCAGCGAGCACTTGTTGGGTGAAGTGTTGCTGGCTACTCTGGAAAGACCACAAGTCTGGGTATCATGAGGCCTGGGTTAAAGCCCTGGTTTTGCCACTTGTTGGCATGTGGCCCTCTTGAAGCCTCAGTTCCTCCTCATCTAAGAAAGATGAGTCGCTGTGACCGTACCTTGCAGAGATGAAATGAGGCCTGTGTGTGCACAGCCCCTCCTGGACCCGCCCTCAGCCGTCGGGAGAGATGGCACCGCACGGGTCTTCGGCCTGGCCATGTGGCCCACTCGTCGGCAGCATGTGAGACCCGCTACCCCTGTCTGGGTCTGGGACAGTGACCAGAGACCCCAGACACGTACCACCAAGTGGGCCTTGGCCTGCTGGGTGAGACACAGCTTCACAGCAGTTGAGGGGCCAGGAGGACAGGCTGCGGTGTGACCAAAGCCACAACCGTGTGACAGGAGTGTGTGGGCCTGGCCCAGAGCTTGAGAACACAGCCTGGAGGGCAGCCTGCCATACCCCCACACCCCCTCCGTACTCCCCCCGACCCCCGCAGGCCTGTTGGAACCCGGCCTCGTCCTCCCAGGAAGGGAGGCAGCGCAGCCGTCAGCACCCCCTCGCTGGGGGAGAGCATCCCCCAGGCCTCTGGGGGCCCAGAGCTGAGTCAGACCAGGCCTTGGCCTGCTGAGCTCATGGGCAGGGCAGGGCAGGGATGTGTGTCGGACACAGTCGTAAATAACTCCCACACCGCAGCCGGGGCTCGAACAGAGGGAGGCCCTGCAGAGCCAGGAGCTGCTCTGGGCAGGGTGGGGGCGCACAAGTGGGGTTTGGGGTGGGTGGTGAGGAGCCAGCCAGCACATTTGGGCAGACCTAGCTCAAACCCTAGCCGTGGGCTCTATGACGTACGACCCAGGGCTAGTGGCTTTCTCCTCACAGTCTCTGCCTCCACTCTGCACGGTGGGAGGAAAAACATCCCGCCCGCTGAGGTGGCCCAGGGGGGTTGCAGATCACAGAGACCCCCGCATGTGCCGGCCCAGCCTGCCCCAGACCCAGGAGCTGTTGTCATTTGTTGTTACCGTTTCTCCGGTAGCGATGGCCGTTATTTAAGGATGAAGAGAGTTCTGCCTGCCACAGAAGAGCTGAGGGAAGGGCAAGCCCATAGAGGAACAGCGTGTGCTAAGGCTCAGAGGTGTGAGATGGCAAGGAGCGTTAGGAAAGGGAAGGTGGGCAGAGCCGGATCAGGGAGTGCCTGGTTTTTGGTTTTGGTTTTTAAGCAGAGTGGGAGGCCAGAAGGTAATGGGGGGGTGGGTCAGGGAGGATCTGAGGTGAGCCTTGAATAGGGACCCAAATAAGGAGACAGAGTCAATCGTGCAGACGTAGGGCAGAGGCATGATGGCAAAAGAGGAAGGGCGTGTGAAGTGCCTCAGACGCTTCCTGGCACACAGTAGGTGCTCACGAGTAGCCGCTGATGCTGTTGCTATCAGTAGCAGATGTTGTGTTACCCGTTCTAACAGCAACATTAAGGTGAGAGCAAGAGCCGGGAGGCTGAGGACGTGCCAGGCCAGGGTTTGCGACTGCAGCTGAGACTAACCGTGGTAATAGATGCATTGTCCCCACTCTGCAGAGCAGCACACTGAGGTTCTGAGAGGGGGGTGACCTGCCCAAGGCCACGCGACTGGGAAGCATCGCCACGGAGCGTCTCTGAGCTGTCCCTCTCTCTGCAGGAATGCTCTCCGTATGCAGCCCACCTCTACGACGCCGAGGACCCGTCCACGCCCCTGAGGACGGTGCCCGGGCTCTGCCAGGACTACTGCCTGGACATGTGGCAGACGTGCCGGGGCCTGTTCCGCCACTTCTCGCCCGACCGCGTGCTCTGGTCGCTGGAAGGCAACCGTGCCAAGTTCTGCCACTACCTGTCCCTGGACGACGCGGACTACTGCTTCCCGCACCTGCTGGTCAACGAGAACCTCAACGCGAACCTGGGCCGTGTGGTGGCCGACGCCAAGGGCTGCCTGCAGCTGTGCCTGGAGGAGGTGGCCAACGGGCTGCGCAACCCCGTGGCCATGGTGCACGCGCGGGACGGCACGCACCGCTTCTTCGTAGCTGAGCAGGTGGGGCTGGTGTGGGCCTACCTGCCCGACCGCTCGCGGCTCGAGAAGCCCTTCCTGAACATCAGCCGCGCGGTGCTCACCTCCCCCTGGGAGGGCGACGAGCGCGGCTTCCTGGGCATCGCCTTCCACCCCCGCTTCCGGCACAACCGCAAGCTCTACGTCTACTACTCCGTGGGGGTCAGCTTCGACGAGTGGATCCGCATCAGCGAGTTCAGGGTCTCCGAGGATGACGAGAACGCCGTGGACCATGGCTCTGAGAGGTGGTTTCCCTGGGGGCCCCGGCCCGGGTGGGGGCAGGTGCCCGTCTGCACCGGTGTGACCGTGTCTGTTCGTATCCCGTCGTTAAATATCGTGACCATGTAACACGCACAGTGCGGGGACTGAGTGACATGCTCTGGGGCCGGGGAAGGACGGTTTTGCAAAACAGACCTCACACAGGGTCACGTCCAAAGCCCTCGATCTGGCCCGCGAGGCCCGACATTTCTCCGTCAGCTCTTTTGTTTCAGGCCCTTTAGATGGTTCATTTCATTGGATTCTCATAAAACCCAGTGAGGTTGTTATTTTTCCCATTTTACAGATGAGGAAGTGGAGGCTGAGAGAGGGGGAGTGACTGGGTAGGTCACGCAGCCAGGAAGCATCAGAGTGGGAGCCCTGGTCTGGCCCAGGGGCACCGTTCTAGAGCCCCACCTGCGTCCTCTGCCCCAGGCCACCTGCTCCCCTTCCTGCCTCCAGGCTTTTCCTGACAACGCCCACAGAGCCTGCTCCCTGCCCATTATTTATGCACCACCTGTTTTCAGAATGGGTGTGACCTGCCCAGGCACAAGAGCACCCGTATCAGTCTGGGCCCAGTAGGAAATACACCCCGTTTCAGGTAATTCGCTAGGCAGAATTTGATACTGGGACCAGTTACTCGGGTGTTAGAAATGATAACAGAGCAACCTGGGGCTAGGAGGCACCTCTGAGCTTAACAGCTGAAGGAAGCTGCCTCCACCCCTCAGGCTGGAAGGACAAAGTGGGAAGGTAGGGACACTGGGCTCCAGGAGCTGGGGCCACCCAGGTTGGCTGGCGCCATACTGGGCCTGGGCAGGAGGAATTGGAGCCAGGGAGCAGGTGCAGCTGTTGCCAAGAAGCAGAGAGAGGGGTAGAAATCCCTGGCCCTCTCTCCTCTCCAGTCTCCTGCCAGTGCCTTCTCCCACAGCTGAACCTGGAGGGAGGCCAGCTAGCAAAGGAGCCTGGGAAATGTAGTTTGCAGGAGCCGAGCCCCTGAAGTAGAAAGAAGGTAAGGGTGAGGGCCGGGAGGTCTGAGGGCAGATTGGCAAATAACAGCACATCATGTATTTGATAACAATGAACGTATAAAAAGGAGGAGGAATCAAATACGCTAGCTGTGAGGGTTGATGTGGATCTTGTGATGCAGCATTAATTTTGACTATGAGCTTCCTGGCAGCCAGAGCAAAAGGAAGAAACATCATTCTCATGCTGTTACATGAGCCTGTGCAGTCAGTCCTCCAAGAGAGACCACATTTATCCCGTGGACTTGACAGAGGGGAGATGGAGGGACAGAATGGATGTGTCTTCAGCTATGACTTTTAAAAACTGATTCCTGGCCGGGCGCGGTGGCTCACGCCTGTAATCCTAGC